GTGATGGAGTTCAGCTGAAGGACGGTTTATCTGAATCAGCCACGAAGGTAATTGATGGTTCTCAATCTAACATGGGAAACTCCGATGAACCAGGGAATGGGAGGAGGAAAAGAAGAAAAATTTTGGATAAGTCAACTGTTTTGGCTGGACAGGCATTGAGAAGAAGTTCTCGTAGAATGTCTTCCACAAATCACACTGTAAGCACAATTACATCTTATATTGCTAATGATTTATCAACGTCTCCTGCAGTTAGTGGTGTAACAGAGGAGAAAACGGTGATTCCAGCTCAGGATGGAGCTGAGGAGCCTGTTGTTCTTCCCCTTAAGCTGCAGTTGCCTCCTTCCTCAAAACATTTAAATTTAGATGGAATTCCTATACTTGATGTTTTCTCAATCTATGCTTGCTTGAGGTCATTTAGTACTTTACTCTTTTTAAGTCCTTTTGAGTTGGAGGATTTTGTGGCAGCACTGAGGTGCCAGTATCCTAGCTCATTAATTGATTCCATCCATGTTGCCCTTCTGCAAACTCTGAGAAAGGATTTGGAGCTCCTGTCTAACGAAGGTTATCAATCTGCTACAGATTGCCTGAGGTACTTCTCTTACCTTTTTTTGTATATTATTCTGGTCTATCATGTTAAGGCTATATAATTTTCCAATGTTCTTTGGAGTTTTTCCTTTGTGGCTTTTGTATAATGGTTGATCTATTAATGCAGGAGTCTTAATTGGGATTTTTTGGACCCCATTACATGGCCTCTTTTCATGGTTGAGTATCTACTGATTCATGGTTCAGGATTGAGAGCTGATTTCGATCTTGGTCGTTTGAAAATATTCCAAAATGACTACTACAAACAACCTGCAGTTTTGAAGGTTGAGATGCTTCGGTGTTTGTGTGATGATATGATTGAGGTTGAGGCCATAAGATCAGAGCTTAACAGAAGATCGTTGGAGCTTGAAATGGACTTTGATCGGAATGGGAACATTGAGTATAGCAAGAAAAGGAGAAACATAACATATATTTCTGGTTTCTCAAGTTTGACTAATGAGGTTATTGATGATGTCTCTGACTGGAATAGTGATGAATGTTGCCTTTGTAAGATGGATGGGAACTTATTATGCTGTGATGGCTGTCCTGCTGCTTATCATTCAAAGTGTGTAGGTGTGTCCAGTCATCTTTTACCAGAGGGTGATTGGTATTGCCCTGAGTGTGCTTTTGACAGACATAAGTCTTGGATGAAGCCTCTTAAATTACGAGGAGCAGAAATTTTGGGAATTGATCCTCATGGTCGGCAATATTTTAGCAGTTGTGGTTACTTGTTGGTGTAAGTTTGTTTTATCCATTATGTCGACATAGGTCATATTGATCTTTAATAATGCTATATCAGTAGAGTGTCTGTTCGACTGATTGAGGTCTATCTGTTGTCATTTTTTTTTTGAAACAACTGTTGTCATTTTTTTTAATATAAAATATTGTTTGTTGCAACCAAAGAATTAGGAAGTTAAAAGTTTTGACATTGTAGTGGCACAAATTTTAAGCCACATCTCGTTGCCATGTGGCACTGCTCCAAATTGCTATTTCTAGAACTTTACGTGCTTATTGCATTAAATAATCATTTACTGATTTAAGTTGGTAAGAAATTTTTTCGTCTGTGGTATTTATGTGCTTATTGCATTAAATAATCATTTACCAAGTTGAGTTGGTAAGAATTTTATTTGTTTGTGTGGTATCTTACATAGGTGTCAGTGTATGCATGCAGGGGTGTATAGTGAATTAGAAATATATGTTAATTTGTGTAGGTACGACAATAATGACACAGACGAATATTTTGTTTTAGTCTTGTTTCACCATATTTAGTCTTTAAAATTTTCTCATGACGATCCTATGCAACTCGTCTGAA